GATGACAACACATGTTTTTATCTATGCCCACAGTGCTGTTGTGTGTGTTAATAGTGACCCCATGTCTGTGGTGTCTAAAACATTACCTCTAGGCTTAGACCACTTCCAATTTATTTTCTTATAATAAATTACCTTTCCAAAAAGTTTTAAATTTAAAAGTACATGTAATTTGAAATTATTGGTTTTTACATGGTTTTGCTTTTATGGTTTTATAACTTTCAGCTTAAGATTTTTTTCCATCTTAGTCAATGTTACATCAATAATTCTTTTTGTTTGGCCTCTCATTTGACATAGCAATCTAGAATATTCGTTAAAATACCAAAACTAGCCTTGCCTGATCATTCTTATACCTGATATCATTGTTCTGCTTACCAAATGGTTATAGCCTGGGAAAGACACATTTAAGAAAAACAGAGCTGAAAATGGTGTGGCTCTCCCGGCAATGCACTATTAGCTAATCCATGTTACCATAAATAACGTGAAATATTCATTATGTAAAATTTAGAAATCTAGTTGAATTGTTTGTTGAGAAAAGTCCATGTCACACAAGCTAGCTGCCTCACGTAGGTACTCAAACACCTTCATGTATGTCAAATTATGATTATGAAACCAATTATTTCTTGGAAGCATTTTAACTTATGGGAGGGTCAATTCAATGTTTTATCTTTTTCTGATAATGCTGTTGTTGCCTTAGTTATTGTTCCAAAATCTGTATTTTTCCCACCGTTGCAGTAATGACATTTTGATTTCAAGTTGAAACGTCACAATAAATTTAAAGGAAAATTCTTGTCCAAACTTCTCTGCTGATGCAATATACCAATCATACAAACCACAGTAGTTTACATGAAGACATAAAAAATACTAAAAAATACAAATAAAATTTTCTTAAGAGCAAAAGCTGAAATTGCCCTTTTCCATAGAATGACCCATTAGCATGTATCATTTTATCTCTGAACATATGCTATCATATGTTAACTAAAAACTTCAACCAGAATAAAGAAGCCGCCCATCATATGTTAACTAAAAACTTCAGTGAGAATAAAGAAGCCGCCCATCATATGTTAACTAAACAAACAAAGGACAAGTCACTGAAACAATTTTAATCCATTGTGATCAATGGGTGACGCTTATTTGAAAAAAAACGGTATTGATTCCCTTACTCATTGTGGCTTTCGCGGCGATTCGGTTTATACTTGAAATGTGGCTTTAGCGGCAAATGGTATTTTTCAAATGTGGCTTTCCCGGGGCTGAACACCTACCAAACTGCTTAACTGTTCAAATGACAAGTGTAGGCTATTCACAGTCAATAACTATACAGCTGGGATGTCTTGAGTTTCAGCTTCAGTCATAAGTGCTCATTAATGAAGCGCTTTGAGCATATCCCTGTGACGTGGAAAGGCGCTATATAAATGGCCTATTATTATTATTATTATTATTATGAATATCAGTTTTGATGAATATTTTAAACCAACAAATTGTATGTATATTTATTATTTCAATAAACATTAAAAGATAATGAACATTTTCTTAGAGCCATCTTTTCATGGAGTGGAGATAAGAGCACCTGAGCCCGATAGAACTGTAGCCCAGAAAAATCAAACTGTGTATATAAAAACCTAGGAAACTGTGGTATATCACAAAAGATGGACGTAAATGTAGAAACATTATCCATCACATCACTCAGTGTCATCTATCACAGGCAGGTAATGTGACGCTTAGTTACATCCCACTTACAAAACATGTTCCCTGATTTACTTTTTATACACAAGTAAATTCCTATCTCCGACAGACCAGCCAGTCTGACACATAACCAGCTCCAGCAGAATACCAACTGTCTATGAATACAAGATGGCATTTGACTGACTGCTCCCACAAATCATTTGGTCACTACAAATATGGCTTCAGGTCGCAGGCTTAAAGATATGTTCCCAAAATAGTGCAAGCGCTGAAAGTTTATCGCGCTCTGTTCGCTGCACATCGGTAGCAAATCATAGGCAGATTCAGTAATATCCACATCCCATGGTACAGCGCCGGCTGCCAGGCTTATCATGTGCACATGACCACGCTCAGCTCATACACAGACATGGGAAACCGACACTGGATGTTGGGTTACCAAATGTAAATGTTAGAGAATCATATACAGGTAACTGGGTGGGGCTGGAGGTGTGACAGGTAAAGGGAAGGCATGGCAGCGTATGGTCAACATGTGCTTCTTGTGATTATGGGTGTTAGTTTAACCCTGGGGGGTTTGGCACTTGGTTTGATAGGGTATAGCACCGGGTATAGTACTCAGTGGTACCTGGGTGGGTAGAGTATGGAGGCAGGGTGGCTGGGGTGTTGATAGGGTGTTGCAACACTAAGTACAGGGTTTGGTAATGGGTGGTACCTGGGTGGTACCAGGGTGGTATTGGAATGGATGGAAGTGGTACCAACATAGATGAGATGGACGTATATGGTACCAGTGGTTTGTTTGTATGGTTGTTTTCAACATTTCATCAGCATTTGTCCAGTTCTTTGACTACAGTCTGTAAATGATTGAGTCTGGTCCAGACAATCCAGTGATTGACATCATGAGTATAAATCTACACAGTTGGGATGACATCCATCAACCAGGGTGCCGTTGTACAAACCAACCTTGGCGCTAAGGCTACCTTAAGCCTATGTTAAGGTATGGCAGTTACGGTCACCTTAGCTCTAAGATCGCTTTGTACAACGGCACCCAGTACAGCAGCCCTGACCACCAACCCTGTTAGTCAAAGCTTATGACAATTCTATCCCAGATCTTCAGTGGTACCGGTGTGGATGGGACATGGCTACTTGGGTAGGTTGCTGATATGATGGCTAAATAATTAAAACATTTTACCTTTGCTACATCTAACTCCTGTCTCCCTTGTGTCTCTGTATTCAACACACACCTATTCTCCAAGCAATCACAGTAATACTAAACCTAGTTATCATGGAAGACGAGAGCTTCCGCTGGAATCACGTGGCTAGGGCAGGAAGAACATTACGCCAATCACACAGCTATCAATAATATTAAGATATATGTTAATAAAATACATTAAGTTATATTCCATAAATTGTTACAAGATAAAAACATATACTACTCCACTTTTCATAGGGATATTTTTTCTTCTTCTTTTCATGATGAACAAAAATGATGATCATATTATGTTAAGTGTATACATAACAATATGACACATCTGATTTTCCCTATCAAAAATTGAGATGTATATTTGGCATGAGACATACTAGAAGAAGACATAAAAATCATGCTTAAAAATCGTACACACATCCTGCACCAATTAGATCAAACATCCTGTACCAATTAGATCAAATGTAGATGTTGAAAACTCATGCTTCAAATGTTATACAGAAAAAAATAATAAATGACAGATTAAGTGCAGAGAGTGATAAAGACAGTGATTATTAATTCCAGTGAAACAAACATACACCTATATATCTATATCCTGTATCTTTATAGCGACAGCCATTTACACAACAAAGATCCTAGTATTATTTAGTACAAGTGTGTGAAAGGGGCGAGAAAGACAAGTGTTAATAAGTTTGCAAAATGTAATAAAGGTTAAAGTGTAATAAGAAGACTGATATGGTTTATAGGCCTGCTGTTCATTATACTATACAATTTATATAGGTGGGAGAGGAGAGAATCAGGGAGGAATCATTAAGGTAAATGAATGTACAACATACATACAAAAACTAGGCACTGTAGCTCACCTCACATACACAAAAATATTTTTGGGACACTTCATGTGTGCATGTATTTAACGTGATGAGTGAGTTTGGTTTTACACAGCTTTCAGCAATATTCTAGCAATATCACAGTGGGGGACACCAGAAATGGGCTTCACACTTTGTACCCAGAGATGCCAACCCCAAAGTGTTGGAAATAGTAGTGTCAAGGATCAAAATCAGTAGTTTGACCATAAAATTAGTAGTCAACTAAATACTTAAAATCATGATGGATTCTGAGAGAGATAATATGACACTAATCAAGAGTGAAGCTTTAATTTCACATATCTCTAACACAAGATTTCCAAATTGTTACTGTTTAACAGTTCACTGGGGGTGGGGGATGGGGGGTGGTCTGAAATTGACTAAAGACCTCATTGAGTGAGAGTGAGTGAGTGAGTGAGTTTGAACACAATGTTCAGCAATATTCCAGCAATATCTTGGTTGGGGACAGCAGAAATTGAAAAATGTGGAAGTTGCAAACAGGTAATATAGGACAGATAACCAAACCAGACAACGGACAAAACACCACAATACAAGCTCACCTGACTTTCTGTCACATGAGGTAAAAATTAGGAGGGAAAAAAAATAATTTATTGACAAAACAAAAATTTCCATTGATTGTACTGATGACCTATTTTGACAATTTTTGCCTCCAAATGAATGGACTTGAAAGTAGTAGTTAGGCAACTGGTAGATAGGCACCTTACATATATTTTAGCAGAGATCTGATTTTAGGAAGGATTACTGCTTATTGTCACTTTCATGCATCAAACTATCTCTTCTGAAAGTTGTGCATGTGGGGAGATGGGGGATATTAAATCTTATATTTTCACGGCATAGTGTGTTGCTCATAATTTTTAAATGAAGAAGTTTTGTTGGATAACTGAATCTTACAAACCAACAAAATCCTGGTCATCTTAACAGAACAATAAACATAAAAATTTGCCAATTGTAACATCTAAATAGATAGGTAGTAAACATTATATTGGTAAGCATCTTGTGAAAGTATCAACTTCCTTAATGAGGCCAAGCATTCATGAAAAGTCAATTTTGATATGTCACATTGTTCCCCCAAAATGCATATGAGAAATTATTTATCATTGCATAAGCTATCAATAAGCTGTAGTAATCTAGGAATGATTTTATTTTTAAATGATTATGTTACACTTGTACTTTGTGTAACACAGTTGGCAGTTATTTTAGTGTGTGCCAATTATTGCCAGATATTTGAACATTCACAATACCTGGATTTCCGTTCCATTAGAATAGCTATAAAGGCGCCACAATACGCCGACAGAAAAGCAGAGTTGATGCAATAAAAACCGCCCAAGATTTTCCTGGAGAGTCAAAAGAAACAAAATAAGTTTTCTATTACAAAAAGAGGTAAAAAATATGTGAAACAACATTCCTAAATAGAAGTGACAACAAACCAGCTGCATGAACCCTCAACCACTATCATCTCCAATATGAGACTGGGATCACTAGCTGGTGATTGGGACCTAACAATATTACAGGGACTTTGAATCTTGTGTTACACAACAGCAGGTTGGTTTGTTGTCGGAAACCACATCACACAAGCATTCAGGAACAGAACACACAGGGGGGCATACCAACAGGAGCAGCACCCACTGTACTACCGTGTCGCCCGCCAAATTTGGTATTCTTGACATGCCTCCACCCAAATAACTGAAAAATGTCTTATGTTCATCAAATCATTAACGTTCCAATAACTACTTTCGATCAGATTGTTAGGTCCAGATCAAGACGCGGTCAGTGAATTGCTCCCCCCATGAGCTGCCCCCCTGTTTGTGGTGGCCTGTGTTCTGCCAACACAGACACTACTTGGCTACAGGAGATAATGAAGGAATGAGTGTATGATACCTGTCTTTTCTTTCTATCAGTAACGACATTGTGCACGCAGGTATTCCACAAATAAATGCATTGTAGAAATTGTAACAGCCAGCTAATTTCCTGAAACAAATAATTTCATTCAAACAGATCATTATTTACAAATTGATAGCATGCTCTTCCAGTTTGGAGATAGAAAACATCTTTCTGACCTCTTTGAATACCTGAACATGATTAAATTTTAATCAGTTTGAAAAGTTTGTTGCATTTCAATGAAAGAATATAAATGAACAGACACCTGAATTGTTCAAAATGTAACTTTAAGTTTAACGTTCCAAGCTTGCTTTTTCTGCAAAATGAAGTCAGTGGATAATCAAGTTTGGTTAATCTCTGAAGTTGATATTCAGTTTATGACAGGATTAGTTTTACATGTCCAAAATGCTCTTACAAAAAATAAAGAAATGTTATCAGAAGAGCATGTAAACAACTTGTTGTCATCTGTAAACAAAACCCGGGCTCTGCAGCTCACCTGTCTTCAACTAAATTTCTGAGAGGGAAGAGATATATATTTGCTGTTATAATGTAAACAACAAGCCTCTTACAGCAAGCATAGTAGGTTCTTACAACAAGCATAGTCACCTGTTACAACAAGCATACTCGACTCTTACAACAAGCATGGTTGTATCTTACAACAAGCATGGTCGTATCTTACAACAAGCATCGTCGCATCTTACAACAAGCATAGTCGTATCTTACAACAAGCATGGTCGTATCTTACAACAGGCATGGTCGTATCATACAACAAGCATAATCGTATCTTACAACAAGCATGGTCGTATCTTACAACAGGCATGGTCGTATCTTACAACAAGCATGGTCGTATCTTACAACAAGCATAATCGTATCTTACAACAAGCATGGTCGTATCTTACAACAAGCATGGTCAGATCTTACAACAAAGCATCATCGTATCATGGCATGGTGATCTTACAACAAGCATAATCGTGATCTTACAACAAGCATAATCGTGATCTTACAACAAGCATGGTCAAGTCATATCTTACAACAGGCATGGTCAGATCATACAACAAGCATAATCGTATCTTACAACAAGCATGGTCGTATCTTACAACAAGCATAATCGTATCTTACAACAAGCATCATACACAACAGGCATGGTCGATCATACAACAAGCATAATCGTATCTTACAACAAGCATCTCTTACAACAAGCATGGTCAACAAGCATCGTATCTTACAACAAGCATGGTCGTATCTTACAACAAGCATAATCGTATCTTACAACAAGCAAGGTCGTATCTTACAACAGGCATGGTCGTATCATACAACAAGCATAATCGTATCTTACAACAAGTACGGTCGTATCATACAACAAGCATAGTCGTATCTTACAACAAGTATGGTCGTATCTTACAACAAGCATGGTCGTTTCTTACAACAAGCATTGTTGTATCTTACATCAAGCATCGTCGCCTCTTATGACAAGCATAGTCGTATCTTACAACAAGCATGGTCGTATCATACAACAAGCATAGTCGTATCTTACAACAAGCATGTTACAATCACAAGTTTCAAGAATTATTCATCCTCTGGATCAAAAGTAACAATGTCACTAAACATTGTAGCTCACCTTTTTTAAATAAACAGCTTAACATTCGAGTGAGTGAGTGAGTGAGTTGGGTTTTACGCCGCTTTTAGCAATATTCCAGCAATATCACGGCGGGGGACACCAGAAATGGGATTCACACAATGTGCCCATGTGGGGAATCGAACCCGGGCTTTCGGCGTGACGAGCGAACGCTTTAACCACTGGGCTACCCCACTGCCCCTCTTAACATTCGAAATAAACATTAGACTATCTAAACTTCAATAGGAGTGAGTGAGTCTAGTTTTACGTCGCACTCAACAATATTCCAGCTATATGGCGACGGTCTGTAAACAATTGAGTCTGGATCAATAAGACAGTAGTTATGAAGAAAAACCTTGTCAACACAAATATGAAATATGTGTCCAAACTCAACAGCCCTTGTTATTCAGCAAGTACTTACAACGCATCAAATTTAAAAATGATACAATAATTGTATATAGAACAAATATGGAACCTACAGTATGGTTGCTATTGTTTTGGTATTTAAAATCATTCTTAAAATCATACTTGCTGGAATTAAACCTGCAAAGTTTTAGACCTTTTGATAACAGGTGAATAAACAGATGATTGATGGCATGACTTTGTAGGGCCCAGATTGATCCATGTGTAATACTGTGAAAGAAGACTGCATGTGTCGTTGGATGTAGGGTTCAACGACAGCCAGTGTGGCACATAATGAGCCTGATTGATGTGAACAAACTACTGTAAAGAAAACTTGAAAACCTTCTGCAAGTAGTAGTCCTTCCAACTGCAACAGCACATGCTATTCATTGAAAGTAGGTCGCCATGACCTGTACTTGATGTCATAACATTGTCATCACGTCATACATAACTTGTCAAATTATCTAACCACTATGTACATGAAAAGGCATTGCAGACGAAACTGCAAGTATTTATAAATCATGACCTTCAGTGTAAGATTAACCATTATGGTCAGTTATTGACATTACAGACTGCTCTTTATATGACAGAAAATAGGTTCATTGACCTTCAGCAGATGCTTCTTGAACTATTCAAATTAACTTTTTTCCAGGCATATGACTTGACCCAGACCTTAACTTTGACATGACTCATACCTGTGACTCAAATATACTTCATTATAAATATATACGCGGGCTCAGGAACGATTATGGTCAAGTTGACCATTTACTCGTCAAGTCTTTGAGCGTAGAGGTAAAAAATAGCTCCCAACACATTAAGATTTTCACAAATCAGTGGAGGTTAAATTCTGACGAAACTTCATTCGTCCCTACTTACATGGTGCTGCATGATAACTGATAATGACATGCAACGGACACAACACAAGCTCTATTGGTCCTTAGTCCAGGAGAGCTATTTTACAAACACAAGGAATAAATATTGTCAAGTGGAATTAAATATAGGGATGCCCTGTTAGTCTTGAAACCTTGCTTTCTGAGTGATTCCTGTGTGAAATGTAAAATAACATCCAAAGAGTGAGTGAGTGAGTTTGGTTTTACGCTGCTTTTAGCATTGTTCCAGCAATATCATGGTGGGGGACACCAGAAATGGGCTTCACACATTACACCCATGTGGGGAATCGAACCCGGGCCGTTGGTGTGAGGAGCGGACGATTTAACCACTTGGGAACCCCAGCACCCCAATATCCATTACTTCCTAACAACAGCTTGTTGCCCAAATATTTGGACCTCTAACATGTATATCTTGAGGCCATTCAGTTGTTTATCTAGTACCCACAATGTGTATATCTAGTTGTCTACAATGTGTATATGATGTACCTACAACATGTATATCTAGTTGTCTACAATGTGTATATGATGTACCTACAACATGTATATCTAGTTGTCTACAATGTGTATATGATGTACCTACAACATGTATATCTAGTTGTCTACAATGTGTATATGATGTACCTACAACATGTATATCTAGTTGTCTACAATGTGTATATGATGTACAACATGTATATCAGTTGTCATGTATATCTAGTTGTCTACAATGTGTATATGATGTATATGATGTACCTACAACATGTATATCTAGTTGTCTACAATGTGTATATGATGTACCTACAACATGTATATCTAGTTGTCTACAATGTGTATATGATGTACCTACAACATGTATATCTAGTTGTCTACAATGTGTATATGATGTACCTACAACATGTATGTGTATATGATGTACCTACAACATGTATATCTAGTTGTCTACAATGTGTATATGATGTACCTACAACATGTATATCTAGTTGTCTACAATGTGTATATGATGTACCGCCAACATGTATATATCTAGTTGTCTACAATGTTGTCTACAATGTGTATATGATATCTAGTTGTCTACAGTGTGTATATGATGTACCTGATGTACCTACAAACATGTATATCTAGTTGTCTACAATGTGTAGTTGTCTACAAAAATGTGTATATGATGTAGCATAAATGATGTACCTACAACATGTATATCTAGTTGTCTATGACATGTGTATATGATGTACCTAATCATCTCATCATGTTTGAAATAAAGAGCTTCTAGTTGTCTACAACATAATACTGTGTGTTTTTCATAGTAAACGATGTGTACCTACAACATGTATATCTACAGTTGTCTGTTTGTTTTCACATTAGTGGCTGCAAAGAGACGGCTGGCAGTTCCGCATTACTGATTGTATGATGTAGTCTAAACTACAACACCACGTGTTAATGTATATCTAGTTGTCTACAATGTGCATATGATGTACCTACAACATGTATATCTAGTTGTCTACAGTGTGTATATGATGTACCTACAACATGTATATCTAGTTGTCTACAATGTGTATATGATGTACCTACAACATGTATATCTAGTTGTCTACAATGTGTATATGATGTACCTACAACATGTATATCTAGTTGTCTACAATGGGTTTATCAAGGGCCTACAGTGTGGATATTTAGTGACAATCTGTGCATATCTCAGGCCTACATTGTGTATATCTAGTGGCCTATACTGTGTATGACAAGTGGTCAACACTGCATATCTCATAGCCTACACTGTGCATATCTTGTAGCCTACACTGTGTATCTCTAGTAGCCTACACTGTTTATGTCAAGTGGTCAACACTGTGCATATCTCGTACCCTACACTGTGCATATCTCGTACCCTACAGTGTGCATATCTTGTAGCCTACACTGTGTATCTCTAGTAGCCTACACTGTTTATGTCAAGTGGTCAACACTGTGCATATCTCGTACCCTACACTGTGCATATCTCATAGCCTAAAGTGTGCATATCTCGTTGCCTACACTGTGTATATATAGTAGCCTACACTATGTATGTCAAGTGGTCAACACTGTGCATATCTCGTACCCTACACTTTGCATATCTCGTACCCTACACTGTGCATATCTCGTACCCTACACTGTGCATATCTCATAGCCTAAAGTGTGCATATCTCGTTGCCTACACTGTGCATATATAGTAGCCTACACTATGTATGTCAAGTGGTCAACACTGTGTATGTCTAGTGCTTATACTGTGCATATCTTGTCCCCTACACTGTGCATATCTCGTAGCCTACACTGTGCATATCTCGTAGCCTACACTGTATATCTCTAGTAGCCTACTGGAATACACTGTCATATCTATTTGCATAAGTTTAATTATCTCATCATCTACAATGTGTATATGTATATCCCACTTAATGCCCAAAGTGTCAGTGACATATCATAGGTCTATCAATTCAGCTGATGATGTATAACATGTGTGATATACTGTGACACTAACCAGCTGGCTCTAAGTGTGTTTTGCATATAAAAGCCATGATAGCTACAAAATTGGAAAATATATATCATTTTTCCCTCTCCAAATGTTCAGCTTTATTAAACCACTAAAATACCAATAGTCATGCAATGTTCAATGCACTAGAAGACTAGAAGACTTTACTGAGCATGACTAATATGCATGTATGATGGCAGCCTCGGTGGCATGGAACACAAACTGATGACTTTCCTACCTCCACAAACAGAAGAACGTCAAGAACAAGGTTCCATTGACAGATAGGAAGATGCTGGACTGCAAGGTCTCAGGAAGTAGTCTCTTTACAAAGTAAGACTTGCCCCTCTTCCGAAGTATGGCAGCCAACTACAAATAAACACTGACATGGTATGAAAACAGAAAGACAAGTTACCATTGTGAAAATGAACATGGTACCTATTTTTGTTTGTAGATCAATGAAGCACTCAGCATCTTACAGCTATTTTGCTGCGGTCTGTAAATAATGAAATCGGGACCAGACAATCCAATGAACATCGATCTATGCAATTGGGATATGATGACGTGTCAACCAAGTCAGCAAGCCTGACCACCCGATCACGATAGTCACCTCTTTTGACAAGCATGAGTTGCTGAAGACCAATTCTAACCCAGATCTTCACAGGTTTGGTACCCATATAAAACTTGACATGGTACATATGCAAAGGTTAATATTTTACCAATGAAGAAATACACTTGGTACCATTGTACAAAATCTTATGCACTGATCTATGTATGTTTTGTACATATCAACAGTTATAAAGTCTGATGAACAAGAAACATCAAACAACAAACATGTCCCAAACAAACACAACAAAATAACATATGCAACACCTGTCAATTAATCAGGTAATTCAGGAGAAATATAACAAACATCCGGTAAAAAAATGGGATGTTACGTCAGGCCAGATAGACTTCTATTCAGTTACACATAATGCTGTTATGACCATAAATAATAAAATGTGCATCTCAGTTTAATTATTCCAGCATTTTGTAGCTGATTAAATGTTTCAGTAACAAAGACACTCAGCTGTTGCCAGTGGTAATTGTATTAATACGACAATTGGGCCACAAATACAAGCTTTTATTGTTTACAACAAAATCAAACAAAAAGGTATCTCCACCTATAGTTGACAAAATTGTAATACACCCATTTCAGACCACATGAAAAATACCCTCCTTGTGTTTCTCCACGGGGTATCTGAAGGTAATGTAATACTTGTCTTTTTTCAGTTTATATTGTCCAAAATACACAGTCTTCAAATGCATGTAGTCACATTAGAGGAATATGTTTGTATTTATTCCTGCAGCTGCAATATACACAATATCCATATTGTTTCTATATAACAGAGTTGAATATTCACAAAACACCTCGACAGACAGCTGGCCCAGCAAAAAATGTTATCTGCCCATAGAATGTTGACAGCCCTGGTTTTGTAAAGTTAAGAATCAAATCTTTGTAAATGATAATACAAAGCCAGTAAGGTTAATAGTTAAAATCAACACACTATTTTGATGGCCTTACATTGTTATGTCACACAGGTACCATGCATTATTGCATGGTTGTTGGCATACATGCTAAATCTTTATAGATTTTTCGGAATGTTAGCACTGCCTACAGAAATATTTAATGCAGTCGCAAATGAGTCGCTTGGCTGTATTCGCAGATCATCATTTTAGCTAACATGAGTTCTAAATAAATTTTAAGGTTTTAAAATATTAACACAACACTGGGGCGATTACAGCTTTTTGAGAAAGGGGGGTGCACAGTTCATTTTCACCTGTTTTCACAAGAGTTTCAATGGTCACTTAATAAGTTTTCAGGACAAAATGGGGTGTGTGCATCCCTGCAACCCCTGTCTGGATCCGCCTATGTAACAATTGGGCATACATTTAATAAACATTCTGCCTAAGACGAAAACAGTCAGTCTATCTTGGATGGTCAGGATCAAAGATATTTCCAAAGCTCAAGATATGATTTCATACTTTGATGGTCCTGGAATCAGCCTGTTACTAAACTATTAAAAACACTGTATATGATTTGTATTGCCTGGTATCTTGAAGAAAACTTAATCAGCTTACACTTTACTGACCTACTTTTAGCAGCACAATTGTTTTCATTAATTACTAATTCTTAGCATTAAAATGTACTTGCTACAACCATCAAATCATAAAATGCACATTCAGCATGAATATACAGGCTAGTGCAAATGTAGCATGAACATTGAAGCACCAACGTGAGGATTCTCATGTATTACAATAGAGGATATGAAGTTTCATTTTATGATGCATTCCTTTTCATTTATTCATTGAAACTATAAGATTATTCTGAAAATCTGATCATGTAGTATTTTTTTACATTGAATTTTAAATCAGTGTGTATGTGTGCATGGTTTTACTCCAGCAACATTCCAGGAATACCAAGTGGAGAGACCTGAACTTAGGCAATATTTTCAGTTTAAATTATAATTTCTAGAAAATATTAATACAAAGAAAAACTTGTTCCTACAACAGACTGGCATCCTTAGAGACTTGTGAAATCCAGATTTGCAATGAGACACTGTACTGTCTTCTTGTCTAGACTTGCATCTTGAAAAGATAGAATTATTATACATCCATGAGCTTAGCTTTCAGTAAGCACAGCCTTAGAGCAAGGCTAATAAGAAATGGTCTTCTCACATCATTCTGAAGTTGTGAATGGAACCCAGGCCTAACATGTGATGAGTGAAAGTTTTGACAACAAGGCCACCACACTACCCCTTGATCAGCAACACTTACTGCACATTTCCTACAAATACTGATTCTGACCAGCTTGGCTGTTACCTCTCCAGTTACGTGTGCTTTTTCCTGACCTAACATACATGCAATTGTTTTCTCTGCAAAGAGGATTCAAGCAAGATTTGGGAGACCTCAACACATGATCTTTTCCCATTAAAAGAGCAGTGACTGATGTTTTTTCAGATTGAGCAACATCACATTGGTAGGAAGGAGGTGTGATGACAGAAATGGAGGGGTTCTGCTTTTCTTGTTATTGGTTTATCTTTTTTTTTTCAGTGATGGGTGGGTGATACTTCATTACTCATTATATTCATGTTAAGATCAGCCTTTAGAAGAAATAATTCATATTTATCTCTAAACATGAGATTTATATTATAATCTGTGAAATATTTCAAAGTTAAAATGTTGGACCAAAGATTAAAAACTTGCTCAAGCTAATTTGTTGAGTCATCAAGTATATGTATATACTTATATACCATATTCCAAAAAGGTATTTCAATTTATTTATGTTTAGGTATTGAATATATTGTTATTCCTTTGGGTCCTCACTTTTTGTCTAATTCTAAACAAAATTATTAAAGTTTGTCAATTATGAATTCAACAAATTTTAAGGGCCTCATCTTGTGTTGATGCCTTTACATAGGCAAATATAGTGATATTTTTGTGCATCACATATATTTGGTAGAAATGTTTCCTTTGACAAGAAATCATGTGATCTGCATTTCATAATTACAACAGTGAGAGGTAACACCCTATTAATTATTTACTACAGTGGAGTTCATGTATGTGATGCCTGCATTTAAGGCCTAAAACAATGTTGAATATTGATGCTGACCCTATTTTTTTAAAGAGGTATGAATAAAATAAGCTTTCAGATACCACTGTTTTTTCCCAGCACCGACAACATCAGTCATTCTGATAGAGAAAGTCGACAAGATGGCCGCAAGCTTGATTGAATAAACAATTACACATTGATAAATGTGTTATTAGTTTGCACTTTATCTCTAAAAAAAAAATAAAAAAAAAAAAAAATCCTACCCACCTGCCCTAAATTTTAAAGAGGTGTAATCAAAACCACAACATATTTTTTATTTGGCCTAATCAGGAAATACCAGAGGAATTACCTGCAGCAAAACTGAAATGACAACAGTGAGTGATTAGCAACCACATTGTTACACCCATGGAGTATTCTGTGTCTTCATGTGTATTGGTTATTAACTGGGTAAAAATGATGTAACTTTACACAGTTTTCGCCACATATGCTGATTCATTAGGGCATCAGGACCTCCCTGACTTATGTCTAACACTACATGTAGTAAATGTTTATATTTGCATAATATTTAACATGTGATGAATAAAAGAACATAATAGTTCAATAAATCAATGATTAATAGTTTTGCAAAATACTGAAACACACTCACTTAACCGATAAAATCAAATTTTATTTAAAAAATGCTCACCATAATCAATCATTTTCCTCCAAATGGCCTAAAGTTGACAATCTAATGCACGACACATGCATATTATCTTGGGAGTCAAAGGTCAACTTATTTGCACATAATTTTTATACCAAATAGTCACTAATTCATGGGCATTAATCAGAGAACTAAAGATAAGAAGGGTGTGATTTGTTTTATTTCACGAACATGAAAAACAAGGCAGGTGACTTTTGGGCATCAATTTAAACTATTTTTCACTTGGTCATCAGTATATTTTTAGTCTTTTGGGCCAGCCAGTCTTTTAGGTCCTTTTCAAGCATCATTTTTCATAATTGTCTTTTTTATATCAATAAAAAATCCTTAAAAGAACGTCAAAGTGAAAGACTATCCCAAACAAAATAAAACGATGGACACCTGGCATAAATATATCTCTGATATTATATCGGGTGACAATGTCTTGCTTGGATTATTTAATGCATATGTGCGAAATAATACAAACTTAATCATATCGGACGACATTTTGAGTGTGACACTAAATAATTTTCTACATGGCGTTCAAAGTCCACAATGAACATGCCCCTAATGCATGTCGTCACTGATGGCGATCATAGTCCAGCTGTAGACTCACGGATACACAGTCAGTGATGTACGTGCATATAAACATACACTGGTGTATATCCAATCAATTGCAACAAACAACAATTGCTAAATCCAACGAGCTATAAAACAGTTTTCCTGTTGTTAAGGAATGAAAACATCTGTGTCAAGTCAGTGCAGTGAGCTAGCTGTTTACCGACTCGCTTTCGGAGTGTTTGTGACCCCATTTGAGAACTCACCAAGTAAAGAGAGCCGTAGAGTTTAAAGGCCTCTTGAAACACGATTTTTGAAACATCCAAAGATGCCTGAACACAATACGGTGTCCAGCCATGTCCAATTTCATAACAAGTATTATGTACAACTATAGGTTTACTGAACAGCGCCATGTTGGTTCTCACGCAGTTTTAACCAATAATAGTACGGTAAATATTCACCTCGGGAAAAGATTCCCCTACTTCCGCTGTAAACAAAACCACGTGCTTCTTACGTCTTGAAGCATGTTGACATGAATCTGAATCGAGGCGGGCTCAAACACGGAGTAGGTGAATCAATGTTGATTAAATTCCTCTGGAACATCTTTTTCATGTCAAATGTTATTTATCGATTTTTGAAACATATCATTTAGATTGAAAGGCTGTACTACATGCACATCGCTTCGTTACATCATTCTCTCGAGCAGAAATAGACAAACATAGAAATAATGGTAGCAGTTACAATCGCAAATTCTGTATCATTTATAAACCAGTCACACGTTTACGCTGATAAATTTGTCAGTGAAAACGAAATTTATTGTCTTTATATTTCGCCCAATCTCCTGTACTTGAGCTGTATTTACACAATGTGTATAAATAAACTATAATAAACAAACAACTATGATAATGCATCACACCATGCGTTTATTGAGTGATTAAAGTCTAACATTTTTTTACTGACCTAAGTTTGATGATTTAAAAAAAACCCCAGAAAATGAGACACGCCGGATTACGCAAAGTCGCACACGTCACTTAGCTTTCAGCACATTACTTATATTAAGCCCGACACAAATATATAAAAAATATTTTTAATTATTTTATAATATCGCCATAAAAGACTTCATATTTGAGACAGACTGAAACAACTTGCTTGAAAAACAATAGCAAACGCCAAAACATTTATCTAATAATGAGAGTTGGCCATTGTCACACTTCCAATGTTGTAGAGATGCATATCATTCCATGCACGTTCGCATACCTGAGAAGAGATAATGCTGGTGCATTTTAGAACTTTATTTGATATTATTTTGTTGGTTATTGATATTTGGTGTGTTTAAGGTGCACATACGTATTTGATATATTAGCTCTCTTGCGGTATGATCAGGTTTGTGTATTAGCATGCATACCATAGAAAAAACAATCTTAGAAGTATTCAGATGCAGTTACTCTCGTTATGCATTTGCATACATTTTTGGTGCAGTGTAATGGATAGCATGACAATGTGTGGCATATGGCATATAAAATGTATGACATATGGCATCAAGTGATCTATTGCTTACTAAATGAGTTTCTTGATAGGAGTGTATTGAAGTTGACAAATGTTATTTCCATGTATTATACAGGTATACATTTCACGAACTGCCTGAGTGTGGGAATGTCCCACGCCACTGAGTATGCAGCCTCAACAGTCGAGTGAGAACTGTGTTCGGACGCTAGCCCAGTTGAATTGTGTGTGTGTGAGCCTCGGTCGTGAGAAATCCATTCCCCCAACTTGCGTGACGATCGACATCGAACGACAACACAGTATTTGCTTTCAGCGCCCCGATACCCTTCTTTGTCCACGTCCCCGACCAACTGTGTGACCCCGACCAACATCCCTGTAGAAACACTCCACGTCATCACATCGCGTAACATGAGTGAGTGAGTGAATAGGGTTTACCCTACTTCAAACACTACTCCAGCTTCCCCAAACATTTGGGTACACCTTTGTAATTACGTGAAGGGGGAACTGTGCGTTCGTCGGGCGCGCCAGAAAGGTACGGTTCACTCCCTTTATGTTTCAAGGTTTGTCTGCTCCATAGTCATGCTCGTGGGTCTCACCAAACTGGTAGACGTCTTACACCTGCATCACTTGGGCTGACACGCCCTGATATAACCAGAAATCTGCTTTAGACTCACTCACTCACTCACGGTGTAATACATGCAACACGTGAACATTTTGCTTCCTCTCCTACTCTTCTACCCTGTGGCACTAATATAGGGTAGACTAACGCTTAGTTGATGAATACATATAATTTTGATTGTAACAAATAGACCCATTTAAATTGAAAATGAGCCCCAGGGAGACCAGAGATTCAGAACTCGAACCTGGGGAAATCTAGACTTGTTTCATTTAGGGCGTTAGCATTGCAGAGAGGGCTAGGCTTTAGGGAAAATAATGTGGTTCAGGGACTGTGAGACACGCAAGCTCTAGGGATGCAACAGCACCAGACATGCCGAAGACTGGGTTCGATTCCTCACGTGGGGACAATGTGAGGGTCCCATCTCTGGTGTCCCCGCCTTGATATTGCTGGAGTAGTCTTGCTCGTTAAAAATCACTGACGGCGACTACCCGGGTTCGAATCTTCACATGTGTACCATATCTGAAGGCTATTTCTTCTATATCAGACTGTGTTATGTCTGGACTGTAGCTAAACCCATCTGTATGGTAGCTAAACCCATCTGTATGGTAGCTAAACCCGTCTGGATTGTAGCTAAACCCGTCTGGATTGTAGGTATACCCGTCTGGATTGTAGCTAAACCCGTCTGGACTGCAGCTAAACCCGTCTGTAGCTATTGTGGAGCAGTACACCCGTCTGGACTGTCTGGACTGTAGCTAAACCCGTCTGGATTGTAGCTAAACCCGTCTGGACTGTAGCTAAACCCGTCTGGATTGTAGCTAAACCCGTCTGGACTGTAGCTAAACCCGTCTGGACTGCAGCTAAACCCGTCTGGATTGTAGCTAAACCCGTCTGGATTGTAGCTTAACCTGTCTGGATCCCGTAAACCCGTCTGGACTGTAGCTAAACCCGTCTGGACTGTAGCTAAACCCGTCTGGACTGCAGCTAAACCCGTCTGGGCTGTAGCTAAACCCGTCTGGGCTGTAGCTAAACCCGTCTGGAATGTAGGTACACACGTGGCCAACATCGAAAAAATAGTTGGATCTCATCTATATATTAGTACTTTTGACTGTAGCTAAACCCGTCTGGAATGTAGCTAAACCCGTCTGGACTGTAGCTAAACCCGTCTGGAATGTAGGTACACACGTCTCAACTGTAGCTAAACTCGTACTAGCTTACTCGTCATAGCTCGTTACGGAAACGGAAATCGCGCGACTGTCAGAAAGTACCTTCGTGACACAGCCTTCATTAATCTGGAGCTGGTGGAGTTAACTGTGTATTTGCACGATACCCTGACCTGGATGCGGTGTATTGTGTTCAGTCAGCTTCCAGAAGACACTAGTAGACAGCGTGTGGTGGAGAGAACGAAAACAGGGTGCTCGCTGATCCGCTGACATCGTTAATAATGTTTTCAGCATGTTTCATGGCGTGGAGTTGGCACCTTGTACACGTACACATTAACGTAATCATGAAGCGAGTGAAAGATTATATTTTCTTGTCCCCTGTGCGTGCGTGCGTGCGTGTTTTATATACATATCATTTAGCATGGATCCCATTCAGAAACAGTTTAGTGACTCCAAACCAATCAGTTGTTGTTTTATCCCCCAGCGCCAGACAGGGTGACATTAATGCCACCTCCTTAACATCTTTTGACAGAGAATCGAACCATCGAGCCCTCTCCGCGCTCCTTCTAACCTTCAGACCACGAAGGCGGCAATTGTTGCCAGGATGGGGATTTCATAACGTTTATAGACCCGTGAAGATCCAGGTTATAATGGTTCCTCTGTAACCCATGCTTGTCGTAAGAGGTGACTAACGGGATCGGTTGGTCAGGCTCGCTGACTTGGTTGACACAGTTTCCCAATTGCGAAGGTCGATGCTCACGATGCTGATCACTGGATTGTCTGGTCCAGTCTCGATTACTTAAAGAGCACCGTCATATAGCTGGAGTATTGCTGAGTGCGGCGTTAAACAACCAACCAACCAAACAACCAACCAATCATAACGTGGGACAAAATAGTTGGATCTCATCTATATATTAGTACTATTAAACTGTTTTGTTGCAACAATATTTTGTACAATTTTTACAACTTCCTACACTTCAGAAAGTTGCAGATATGATACATGCTGTAACATTATGTCTCTCCTTGACTCATATCTTTCAAATGTCCAAAACACTTCCACAATGCCAATGGTGTTTTCGCTTTCATCCAGGTGATTAGACTAATGCTTAGTCTCTAGGCAAGGTAGGGGTAGGTCAGATGACAGTGGTGGGTGTTGGGGAGCTGGGTAGCAGGGTGGGGTAGACCTGTTGATAGACTAATGCTAAGTCTCTGAATATATATAAGTTTGATGGTAACAAACAAGCCCATTTAAATTAAAAAAGGGGTCCTAGGGAGACCAGAGATTTTGAACCTGAGGAAATCTAGACTTTAGCACTGCAGAAGGGCTTGGCAGTGGGGAAAATAATGTGGTTCAGGGACTGCGAGACAGACTAGCCTGTTGACAGTGATGGATGGTGGATCTGAAAGGGAATGAATAGAGATTATGACACGACCATGTTTTGCAGTGTTAGAATTGATCTTGAGCAACCCATGTTTGTAAGAGGGGACAAACGGGATCGGGTGGTCAGGATCGCTGACTTGGTTGACACATGTCATCGTATCCCAGTTGCGTAGATCGATGCTCATGCTGTTGATCACTGGATTGTCTGGTCAGGACTCGATTATTTACAGACCGAAACTATATAGCGGGAATATTGCTGAGTGCGGCCTTAAACAACAAATAAATAAACAAACAAATGTATCCTTTTAGGTAATTTTCAAATGTCTTCAACAAACTTCACATACGACGTCGTTTCTTGTGTCACGTCATTCCAACCTTACGCCACTAAAAAATGAAAATCGAATGGCATCAACAGTACGTAAACCATACGCTAACGCGCTACATTAGTGCGAATTTTATTTGCCCTAATTCATACAATATTTATGAACTAGGTCATTTTTAATGGGTACTAAAAAGAAGACATTAAAATATAGAAAGGTCAATAAGTATTTTCCCCGTATGTTACCTTGGTGATAAAGACACAATCATATCTTTCCCCTAAATATAACAACTGACTGACTGAGTTTAGTTTTACGCCGCTTTTAGCAATATTCCAGCAATATCACGGCGGGGGACACCAGAAATGGGCTTCACACATTGTACCCATTTGGGGAATCGAACCCGGGTCTTCGGCGTGACGAGCGAACGCTTTA